CGGTATGTGTTACTTAAGACTTAAGTTTTTTATGTTATGTTTTGTGAACTGTTGTTGGTATTGTCCTCTTTTTTCGTGGCATTGTTATTTTATTTTCGACTTATGTCTTTGAACATCCCTTTGGTATCTTTTGCTTCTCCTTTAAAGTTTTTTTTTAAGATATTAACTCGCCTTTCAAATCGACGTTGTCTTTCATTGCGTGTCCTGTTCGTAATTCTGTGCTTTAAAAACTAATAAAAAAAATTCTAGCCCTTTAATTGTTGGAACATACAAAGTTTGGACAGCTGAATATTTTGTTGTATCAATGATGTTGCCTAAGCTTAGTTTTTGCCTTGCTTTTTTAAGACTGTTAATTTTAATTTGTTCATGATTTTGTTTGACTCACGTTTAAAATATTTTCTTTTCATTTTTCGACGTTACTACTTTTTATTTTAGAGTTCATATCGACATATAAATATATGTAAAGGTACCTTGTAATAATAATTAATATGTAAATTTTAACGTATTGAAATTCTTCTTTTACAAAATTCGTCCTAATAACTGCCCTCAGAAGTTCAAATGACTGAATATCATATTCTTTCAATTACTTCTTTCGTGAATTCCATTTAAAGGTGTGTAACATAGCGTTGTTTATCATAAATAGACCTTTGATACCCTATTCTAACATTTAAATTCATACAAAGCAAATCGTTTGATTGATTCTACTGATAACTTGACAAAAACTCTTCATTATATAAAAAATATTTTCTCTCGAGTTTAAATATAATTCGTGTTCAAACATTCAAATAATTGTTTTATATTTAATTTTGTTTTCTGGTACAGTTCTGCATTGTTTGTTTGTGTCAAAAGTATCAGAAGTAAAAAAGAAATACAATTTTTAATGCTAATATGTTAATACAATAAATCAGCATGGAGTAAGCACTTGCATTTCTTCTTTCATGTTAACAGTGAATATATATGGTCACAATCAACTGAGCGTATGTTTCCAGCTAACACAAATTATTCATAGTATTGTTAAGGATGTCAAACTGCGAATACCAATTTTGGTAATCAAATAGGGTAAGTGTCTCATAAAACGAAATGATAAATGTTGATGAAAAAAGAGGTGCATAAATTTGTTTGATCAACATGGGATATCGTATTGTTGTACTGATGAGTCTCTTATAGACGAAACGCGCGTCTGGAGTAAATACAAAATGTAATCCTGGTATCTGTGATAAGTTTATTTAAAACCACTTGGTCGATGCCACTGCTTGTGGAGTTTTAATTCCCCGAGGGTATCACCAGCCAAGTAGTCAGCATTTCTGTGCTGACATGAATTACCATTGATATGGTCATTTGTATAATTTACTGTTAACAACATTTTGAATTTTTGAAATACTAAGGCTTTTCTACCCCAGGAATAGACTACCTTAGCTGTATTTGGCACAACTTTTAGGAACTTTGGTCCTCAATGCTCTTCAACTTCGTACTTTATTTGGCCTTTTTAACTTTTTTTACATTTTAAATTCAATGATGAGTCTTTTTTAGACAAAACGCGCGTCTGGCGTATACACAAAATTTAATCCTGTTATCTATGATGAATTTATTTACAACCACTGGGTCGATACCACTGCTGGTGGAGTTTTAATTCACCGAGGGTATCACCAGCCAAGTAGTCAGCACTTCTGTGCTGACATGAATTATTATTGATATGGTCATATTTATAAATTACTGTTAACAACATTTTGATTTTTTGAAATACAATGTACTAAGGCTTTTCTACCTCAGGAAAAGATTACCTGTATTAGGCACAACTTTTAGGAATTTTAGTCCTCAATGCTATTCAACTTCGTACTTTATTTGGCCTTTTTTAATTTTTTTGGATTTTTAGAATTAATATCGACATATACGTATATCATGTATATGTTAAGGTATCAGGTAGTAATAATTTATTTGTAAAATTTAAACGTATTGAAAATCTTCTTTCACAAAATTCGTTCTAATAACTGCCCTCAGAATTTCAAAAGACTATATGTCTTATTTTTCTATGACTCCTTAAGTGAATTCCATTTAATGGTGGGTAACATAGCGACCCACTTAAGTTGATCATACAAAGACATTTGATACTGTTCTGATGTAACTGTTCTCAACCAAGTGTTGCGTAGTCCCCTTGGCTTTCTCTCACCTTGTAGTGCCATGTGCAAAAGTGTCTTTACAGTATGGTTGTATGGCATTCTCAATACATTGTCTTGCATCTTAATCGTCTTCGTATGACCTCTGTATTTTCTTATCTTAATGTATGTCGGTAATAAAAACTGCAATTATGAAGGGTGATAACTGTGATGTTATCATGTTGTTATCATGCTGTTAATCAGTAGTCACCAATCAAGTGATACTGTCTCCATCACCATTTACAAGTTTATTTTTGTTTTTCATTCATTTACATTATATTGTTTTATTTACGATACTTGTATACCTATTTATTCTATATAATTTAATATTATAACATCATTTTTTTAGAACGACCAAAGCGCGCTTTAACTATTTATTTCCATTGAAAATTGAATCGTATGTTTAAATGTTAGTATACGTCAACTTAACATGGACCTGTTTATTTACCACAAAGATCATATCGATCATATCGCTGTTCAATTATTTGAGAAAATCTTCACAATTTAAAACCAATAAGCGTTTACATGGGACTTTATACAAATGTTTACCGATTAACAAGGTCAAAAGTGTACAGTGATATCTTATACCTGACGTTGTTGTATGAAAAACAAACAAAGAAAATCATTGATTTTGAAACCATTAATAATCAATTAATTCTTTAACTCATTTTTTTCCATACTCAAATTATTACTGTCATTCATTTCCCTTAATATAAAATTAAACAGACGTGGTTTGATTGCTAATAACACAACTATCCACCAAATAACGTGGTTGGAAGTAATGATAGGCAACCATACGGCTTCAACAATCAGAAAAACACACACTGAATAGTCGGCCATACAAGGCCCCGACATGAAAAAAGTTAACCAATTCTAACAAGAAAACTAATGGCCTCATTATTACAAAAAAATTTACGAAAAACAAATATAATAGACAAAATCCAACGACATCCACTGGCATACAGCCTCTTGACTTTAGGACAGGCTTTTAAAGTATGTTGCTGGGTAACATATGTTTGTAGGTGCTCAACCCCATCCCACTTTATTCTTAGTTCACTATGTCAAATGGCATTCTTAAAGTTTGAGCTTATTTATTCTTTTCCCAGACAGTTTTTATTTATTTTAATGTTTAGTGTTTAATTCGATCTCGCATTGGTCTAAGTTTGTTTTTGACGTAACACATTACAACGTTACTTAAAAAGAAAGAAAATCGTTTCGGATATCACTGAAAAAAGAGAGATAAAGTTTTCCTAAAAATGTTCCAAAATTCTTGAGAGAACCAGATTCTACCAACGGAAGATATAGGGCCGATTACTTTAGCAGATGTTATCCATTAAATAACAATGACGTTGCAAACATAATGTAACGGATTACATTAAAATCACATCTAAGTTGCAATTGCATTGTTATTTGTAACATTTCTTTATTTATAAAATTTCTTAACTTTTTTTGAAAGAAATCATGATAACATGGTATACTGCTTGATTAAAGAATGTTTTAAAACTTTGTAAGCCATACACAAAATACCTACTTTTTGTGAAAAAAATGTGTTTCGTTTTAACCCTTATATCTTAACTATATTCATGGTATTAAGAACTTTGACTTGGTACATAGAAATATACGTATTGTTTGATAGCATAGACAAGTGGCATAACCTTTTTTTTTAAGATTTAGCCCAGAAAAATTACAATTATATTTAGTTATACGACCCGAAAGACAAAAACACAAATACTAAAATATAATAATGATAAAGTAGTTTTATCGTCCTTGGCATCATTATTAATACATAAATATCAATATATTTTACAGCTTGTCTTTTTGGTTTTTGTTGCGCTTCAGTGTGTCTGTTGTTTCGTTGTTTTCTTCTTATAGTTGATGTGTTTATCTCAGTTTTAGTTTGTTTCGTTTTCTCTCAATCGATTGATGACTTTCGAACAGCGGTATACTACTGTTGCCTTTATTAAATAACCTATTCATTTTTTGTAACACACAAGATGAGTTTTGGTATTAAAAAACATCGTTTAAATCGCAATACATAATTCAGTTATAAGTTGTTTACCTTATGATGTATATGATTGTGACAAAAATTCCAATACCTACTATGATTAGAAATTAAAAAAAGAAGATGTGGTATGATTGCCAATGAGACAACTGTCCACACATTAGAAAGCACATTTTAAAATAAATATGGAAAAAAAAATGTAAACTAGTTAAACAATTTGGTTTTAAATAACACTATTTTATCAGTGAACTCATTTATATCGAAAATCAAAGTCCTAATTCGATTCAAATCCCCAAAATGAATGTTCTATGCTATTGAATGTCCCTTTTGTTATCACAAAAAATAAGTCAGTGTTGATATTAGAAAAGTACATAACATCAATCTGACAATAAAACATGTGAACAGCAAATTAATTTAGTGAACTGTTAATAGAAAAAAATCACACATTTTCACTCAACATGTCAACGCTTGGATTTTCTAAACGTGTTATATAATTTGTTGTATCCATGCTTGTAGATAAAAAACAATTTCCATATATATGTACAACATTTGTAATTGGCAAGTATAAATAAAATCTGAAAATTAGCTTAAAGTTCTCATGATAACACCTCTTTTTTTTTAATTATGATTGATTAAATAACGATGACAACACGTTTAATATTATAAAATTGAACTGTATGAAGCGGGAACATAGCGTTTTACAACCGATGAAGTGGTAGAATCTTATTGAGTAAAATTATTATGTATGAATATTACACATATCATATACCATCAGATTTGAAAGATTGGGCTATTTAGAGTTAATAAAGTGTATCACCGTTTTTGACGAAATTATTTCTTTGTAGACTCTGTACATATAAATACGTCATGAGGAAGATTAGTTTTACAAAAGGAATATCTTAGTAAATTAATTTCTGAAGAGAAGAAACGCATCGCAGAATCGGTAAGTTATTATAATATAAAGCTACGTTAATTCATTCATTTAACTATAATATACGAAGATGTGGTTTGATTTCCAATGAGGAAACTCCGCACAATAGACCATACGACTCAGAAATTAACAACTATAGGTCACCGTACGGACTTCAACAATGAGCAAAGCCCATACTGTATATATTTGTCCAGTATGGTTTATGGTTTGGCCTGTCCGTATAACTCTCTTATTGATTTGGGAAGGCCTTACAACGCTCTGTCTGGTCTCTATATATTCCGTAGATACTTTATTTCACTTTGACTGCACTACCATTAAGTTTAAAGAAAGGTCGAGACCTCATTAAACGAAACATTAATTCCCAATCTCGTCCTCTTTTCAACAAATATGACCTACCAAATTAGTCTTATCACAGGGTTTGTAATGTGTTGAGCATCAAATAAACTAGTGTTAATAAAATTTATAGTTATTGCATCATTTACGTTTATAAATATATGTATTCTATAATGAGTTGCCAAATTACTCGAACAGCAGACGTAATACTAGGTTTTAACTTGTGGCATTATGTGAATTGCTTCGATTGTACAGTCTGAGATAAAATATATAATAACTTTGAATGAAATGGAAAGAATATCTAAATTTGTGATCCGTTGATATTTTTAATATGTCTTATCCTTTGTGGATACGCCCTTCAAACGAATACAAACGCAAACCAAGATTATCTGTTAAAATATCAATTATATATCATGTGTTCGATTTTAATATCATCTTGTCCCTCGGTTAACCCTTTGATTTGAAACATATAAAATATATAATAACTTTTAATGAAATGGAAAGAATATCTAAATTTGTGATCCGTTGATATTTTTAATATGTCTTATCCTTTGTGGATACGCCCTTCAAACGAATACAAACGCAAACCAAGATTATCTGTTAAAATATCAATTATATATCATGTGTTCGATTTTAATATCATCTTGTCCCTCGGTTAACCCTTTGATTTGAAACAACAACAGTCAGTACAACATATTGTGAGCAAGACCGAACTAAATAAAGTTTTCTTCTTGATCCATTATATATTAAAACACAAAAATATATGTGTAAGTCATGCAATGTTTATTTTTTTTGTGTGACAAAGAATAAAGGAGTGTTTAAAGTGTTTTTCAATTCAAACGAAACATGTGAAAAAGTAGGTCAGTTTTACATTTAAACTTTACAAACAATGATTTATTTGGCAAAGATTGATAACATTTCTTTCCTTTTATAAGCAGGGACACGATGTCTATTAAAATGAACTTTAGACGTCGTCAACGATCGAATGTTTTCATTGTTGATTTTGTTTACAAATTCAGTCCAAAATATATGTGTTGTTCATTATTTGTACAGAAACAGGGGCACTATGTCTATTAGAATGAACTGGTCTTGAATGTATTTTTACAATCAAAAACCATCCATCTTGCTAATTCTCCATGAAAAATTTAAATGACTGGATGTCTTATTCTTCAAATTACTTCTTTTGTGTATTCTATTTAATGACAGATAACATACCGACCTTCTGATGTTCATGATAAATATACATTTAATACTCGATATTAACACTTAATGACATAGAACGCATATCGGTTGAATGATTTCAATGATATATTGATACTAATAGATCTTTGATTTAAATATTTTAAAAGAGTTTAAATGTATTGCGTGTTTTTTTCAGCTTATATTTTCAACTTATATTCGTTTCTGTAACAACATTTCTTTACATATTTGCGTCTTGTAATATGTGACATGAACATTAGAGAATTGTTAATATGAAAAACAAATTATCTGTGCCAAATCAGGAAAATGATCATTGTTATATTATAGTTCGTTTCTGTGTGTGTGTTACATTGTATGTTGTGTTTCTGTTGTGTCGTAGTTCTCCTATCATATTTGATGTGTTTCCCTCAGGTTTAGTTTGTAACCCGGATTTGTTTTTTTCTCAATCGATTTATGAATTTCGAACAGCGGTATACTACTGTTGCCTTTATTTATCCATAGATTGAGTTATGTTCGCTTTAAACGAAAGGTCATTCTTTTGAAAAATAGGACGATACAAAGTTTCAATGAAACAGATATTTTTTTTTTTAAGATTTAACTTGTTCTGTTTCATTAAATTGTTATAATTGAACTTTTTTTTCCCTTTTTTGCCGAACTGAAATATGTGATAAATGGTTTATAACATGTTTTTTTGTCATATTGTCTCTGAAATCATCTCTCGACCCATATCGATTTGTTACCATAAATAGCTTAAAACATATACTAAATTCTTTCAAAGATACAAACATTTAGTTAGTACATTTGGCGGTGATTAGAATTCTCAATGTTACGGTTGTAATGTAGTTAAAGCGCGGAAATCCTTTTGTGATCCGTGTAAACTCATCAAACCTTTAAACACACTTATATGTAAAGGGTATCTTACTATTGTTGTAATGAGATCTTTGAAATATTTTTAATTGACACAGCCTTTTTGTGTTGTCCTCAGCAAATTAAAACATAACTTAAATTGTATTCTTTTCAAACGTTTTTTTTTGGGGATGTATACATACACAGCAACATTTTTCTATTAAGAGAATACTCAATCTATATATAACATTATGCATGTGTATTAAAGGTTAACTTTGATACTGCATGACTATACTTTTTTTTTTGGCATTGCACAAGTCATGTTTTCTTTGAGTGTCCAAGACGTTTAAATACTAAATCCCTGGGATGTGTTTTAGTTGCTTTTAGTGTCTGATGCTTGAATTTTTATCAATCAATTATTTTAGCTTTTTACTAGCTACAATAATTGCAAGTACTCTCCAATCGTACTTTTGTCTTAATGTGACCTGATGATACAATTTGTAATGCGTTTTTGTTATTTAATGTTCACCTTATATTGTTATATCTCGTTTCATTATTTTTAATATATACCACCTTTGATAAGTGTTGGGTATGACGATACATTTTTACTTCTCTTCTCGTAATATGAACAATACCATTAATAATTTTGTAACAGGCAACAGTTCCGTTCTCCATGTATATCTTAAAACAAAGTTATTCTTATTTAACTGTGCACTTTTTTTGATGGCGGCATTTTGTCCAAGGTTATGGTTGTCTGTCGGATATCGTTTTACATCTAGCCCACTTGTCTTATTATTTTGGTTTTACATTATACGATATACCATATGTATTCGTTCAGTGTTTGTTTACTTGTTTTTGTTAATATGTCTTTTGATTGAGCTAGGCGATTATTTATAATTTATTGTGTGTCTTTCTATAATAAAAAAAAACAAAGGAGATGGAGTATCCATCCATGACACAAATTCAGTTCATGCACAGAAAAAAACCCGATCAAACCGCAAAGGAATAGCTTTCTATGTTGTGATATTACACCAATATTTTGGGTAAGGTGAAGGATTGGGCCTTTTAAAAACGTTTAAACCCACTGCATTTGTTTAGTCAGGAACCCGATGCTCAGTGGTTACTGTTTTTTTTTATGTTGTTCATAAGTGTTTCTCGTTTTGTATATAGATTAAACCGTTGTATTTCCCATTTGAATGGTTTAACACTAGTCATGTTTGGGTTCCATTATAGGATGCCTTTCGTTGTGAGTCAAGGCCCAATGTTGAAGGCTGTAATTGTAACTATTATGGTTTTCTTTTACAAACCGTGACTTAGATGGAGAGTTGTCTCATTGGCACTCATACGGTCAAAGGTCAAATCAGGTTTTAACAGTTAAAAATAATATATATAATTTAAAGTAAATATATAAGCGAAACCTGCTGTATATACGAATCACCAAATCATGCATTTACAAAGGAATAACAGAATAAACCTGTAATTGAAGACAAACAGTTAATGTAAATCAAATTGCATATAACGTATACACAGCGATACATGGAAAATAATAATAGAAACTCGATACGGACAAAATAAAATATCCTATAGGCAATAATATTAGTAGGTTTTGCTAAGATTGGTTCATGGACACGATTACTAATAAAATCTATTAATTGATTCAGAGAAGAAAATGTTATTGGTGAGTTGAAATCCATCCATCAGAAAAAAAAGGGCGAAAGATAATAGAAGTACTGAAAAATATATAGAGATGGTATATTGTTTTTAAAGAAAAAGTTGGGCACTTTTAATTGTTTGTAATCAGATTATGAGGTACCAAAATAACTGATATATAATGTCAGGTCATAATATTTAAGAAAATTAGTGCATATTGGCACTTTATCATATTAACACCTTCAATATGTGCCGACAATAACTCTTGGAATTTTAAATGGGCTCCATTTGATGTAAAAAAAATCATAGGGATGAAAATACTCAATCGGAATGCCAGAAAGTACATTTATAAAAACAAATTGATGTCTTTATTGTTGTCGACAGAAGTTAATGTAACCTTAAGCTTGTAAAGTCCATGTTTGTACGAAATTCCGAAGACGCTGTAGTACAGATGGGCGCGATCCTAACCTGTACAGCTAGTTAACTAAATAAGCAGACTTTATGACTGGTTAAAGTTAACTTAGGACAGGTTTTATCACTGCTGTGACCGGTCTTAGGACAGAATTTGTGTTAACTTAAAAGCAGACTTGGTTCTAGGACCGTTTAATGATTGCTCGAAAAGTTAACTTCAGGACAGGTCCATGGCCAGTATTGAAGTCCTACACGCAAGTTAACTTATGACCAGGTCTGCTTTCAAAAGTCAAACCAGACCTGTTCTTATAAAAGTTAACTTTGGTTTGGTCCTTGATAAAGTTAACATGATCCAAAGTTAACTTTGTTCTGGTCTGCTCCTCTAAGAAAAAGTTAACTTGATCCCAAGTTAACTTTGGTCTGGTCTGCTCCTCCAAGATAAAGTTAACATGATTCAAAGTTAACTTGTAAACAGGACTGCTTTGATTGATGAATGTCATATGAGTATCGACTTCCGATCAGTGAAAATCATACGATCTTAGTCTTTTTTATGTGAACACAAATATCAACTATGCCACCAGTAAAATCTGTTAAATAGCAAACTTGTCATGTCAAGCAGACCTGTCAACAGATCTGGTCTGGTTCGGTCAAGCAGACTTGTCCACTGGTCTGGTCTGGTCCGGTCAAGCAGACCTGTCCACAGGTCTGGTCTGGTCAAGCAGATCTGCCCACAGGTCTGGTCTGGTCCGGTCAGGTAAACCTGTCCACAGGTCTGGTCTGGTCAAGCAGACCTGTCCAGAGGTCTGGTCCGGTCAAGCAGACCTATCCACAGGTCTGGTCTGGTCAAACAGACCTGTCTACAGGTCTGGTCTGGTCAAGGTGACCTGTCCACAGGTATGGTCTGGTCTAGCTGACCTGTCCTGGAAAACAGGTCTGCTCTATCAAACTTGTCCTCATGACTGGTCTGCAGCAGTCCTAAAAAAGCACACACGAGGTCTGGACTGCTAGGGATAAAGTTAACTTACAGGTCTGCTAAAATGTTCCCAAGTTAACCTATAGAGTAGTCGTAATGACTGCTTTAACTTAACTTGTGTACAGGTAAGGACTGCACCCATCTGTAAATTAAAATTTATTTAAACATTAATTTCTGGAGACATTTACTTCCATAACCACCATTTACCTGACCAGATTCAAATCAGAATTTCAATTCCAGCTGATTCGGTCCTTTTATTTATGGATAACTCCACCGACTCATTTCATATTTTCAATAATCTGCTTCTGATTTCGAAACGGAGAACAAGTTAGATATTGAGGATTTTCACTTTTCTTAATCTCTATTGATACATTTCCTATTATTGTGCTTTTACCACATCTATATGTGAATAAACACGTATGATTAAACACAGAATATTCATATTCTTGACTCAGTTAAGAAATTTCCAACGTGATTAAAATTGGTTTTATAGATAGTTAAACCTCCCATTTGGCTTAAAGTTGTTCATAGTTTTGATTTAATGAAAGAATGGGGTAAGCAACAGACATAATATGTATTGTTAATTGGGAAAACATATCTTTACATCCTTTGTCATGTGCATAATATCTTAAACAATTAAAAAAGTTAACAAGCAGTGACAAAAAATGGTACAATAGACTAAGATCTGACAATAGGCCACTAAACTTCCAATTGAATGATTTAGAATTGAAAAGCGTTAAATAGTTATATAAGCTATATTTGAAATTGTATGCTTTCTGTAATTTTAGATTTTTGAATATTGAACAACATGGTGTCAAAAGAGGAGGAAAACTTTCTTCGTATTGTGTATCTACACTACAGAGTAGCCACTGGAGCACTTACAAATTTCTTTGATAAGTTTCACCCAAGTTTATCCGCTGATTTGAATATACCAGGAAACAAGGCTATATTGCAAGATCTGTATATTCCCCCTCCTAGGAAGAAACGAGTTCTCTATCGAGGACAATGGGATACTCTGTATCCTCCACCAGGTACGTTTCTAGGAGAAAACGAGTTATCTATAAATGTCTATGGATTATTATGTATCCTACATCAGGCCAATTCCTAAGAGATAACGAATTCATTATCAAAGACAATGATATATTTTGTTTCCTCCACCAGACAAGTTCCTAAGAGTTTTCAATCACTTGGTTTCAAGCAGGGAATGAACATTTCTATTTTCCAGTTACAAGATAAACAAAAGGCTGATAGTTCAGTAAAACGCAATTTACCAAGACTAAAGGTATAGAGATTTTAAGTATGCTGGACTGATGTAATCATAATTCTAGGTGTTGTAGTTTCAACGTACACACCAACGGTCTAAGTTTGTTTCTATGATTTTTACAGCGACATAAAGTATTTGAATATGATATGTCTAACCGATCATTTTGTTTTAGAGGGCTATGATTTTTATTTTAGAAATTTCTGATTTCTGACAGGTTAAAACTCCAGATTACTGACAAAAGATGAACTGTTGTTACTTTACCATCATGAAAAAAGCATTAAAAAATCTTGGAATTGTCTATTATTTATAATTAGTTATTTGACCGTTGCATTTTTGGGTATAATTAGTTATCAAAGGTACCAGGATTATAATTTAATACGCCAGACGCGCGTTTCGTCTACATAAGACTCATCAGTGACGCTCAGATCATAAAAGTGCATATTGATTTTTACCTTTTAATATTTAGGTACCGTTCCATGACATGTTACTTTATAAGTGTAAATTAAATACGGCGTTTGAATACAAATTGAACAAATTGATCGTATAAATAAGTTTTATGACATTTGTTGAATTATTGAAATTTACACTTCTGTTTCTACTTCATAAGTCATTGTAAAAAACGGAGCTAACGATGAATTCCAAAGATGCATTTTGCTCATCAATCTAATTTCGGTGTTTTGTTACGTATTAGTTGACAAGAAAAGTAACTAATTTGAGTGACGAGTCTTCCAAAGGACAAACACCTTGCAAGATACAACATTTAAAGTGCGAATCTTCAAGCTTTTGATTTTTATACAAAGCACACAATTGTTCTCGGACTATAAAAAAAAAACATACGGTTTAGCATTTAAACTTGACTTAAAAGACAAAACCACTTATTAAACATGATCAAATGTGTATTGAAATGTATTTGCATTGCATTAATGTATTGTTCGTTTATTATAAATTAGATCTAATCCCTTTCGACTCATGCATACAAAAATGATTACAGAAATAAACTATGCGATTTGCATTTGATTGTTTTCTGTTAAAATCAATCATGTATTGCTTAATAAAAATAGCTAATGCGGCGTAAAGCAAACAATAATCAATCAATCTTAATGAAAGATAACTAAACGCACTACTTCTATCGGTGTTATTAGATTTGAAGTATCAATAAGTTAGTTCTATTTGATAATGGATGACATTTCGTTAGTTGACGTTTGTGTGGTTACTACAGTACATATCTTGTAGTTTTAAGGACGTCACTGATATGCATGCAAAATATACAAAGAAGCTAGCTCTTACAATGGAATATAAGGTCGTAGTATTTTTTATTAACAGTGTTTGACCTAAGGCAGGTTTACAACGTGCAATAGCCAATAAGTTACGATTTCTATCGAGATCACTTTTTCATCAGTCAACTGCAAATATAAAAAAAATAAACCTTAAAGAAAAGGCTACAGATGTTATTACGGTACGATCAACTGTTGATGGATGAATAAAAGTTATTTAATGTAGTGATTGCATCGTAAAAAAGGCTGATGATACTCAAGAAACATTCAAACTAGTATGTCATAAAACATACTGGCAACGCCATGTAAAAAAGCGAAAAGACAAACAACAGTTACAAAACATTTACATATCTGTCCATAGTCATTTACATATATTTTATATTACAGTCTCACTGACGGTTACCTCAGCTCATGTAGACTCGACTAGGATGCTTGTTCCTGAATATTGTGCATGCATAAATGAAATATAGCTATTGTTTAACTGTTATACATTTCTTTTACAGGAACAACAACAGTTACTTCAGCAGATTTAGACTTGACATTAATCGTTTGTCTACTACGTAGCATACCTCCATTGTTGACAGAACCTCCAACTGGATTTGACAATTTACCTCCTCCTCATGACAAAAGCGATGGAGCAAACGTTGCCCGCTTGAAATATTATAAAAACTTTCTTGTGTCACATTCCAAGAATGGTACATTACCTAATGCAGACTTTGAGAGAATCTGGAGTGAATTAGAACAGGTATTAATATTTAACTCCTGTAAAAAATATTAATCTGAGAGCATCAGTGGCACGCAAGAAACAGGGTTATTTGTATATACATATGCACATGCATGGCTTTACAATCTGTCCATAACTGTATCTTGGCATTGCACAAGGTCATGTTTTTGATAGATGTATTTGTGCTGTGTATGCTTCTCATAAATTAATCCCTTTTTAAACTGTCATATTCCTGACCTGGTACAAGCATTTTATCATGCAAAAAGCCCAAAAAATAATAAGGTAAACAGGAAAACCCATTCATACAAAAAACGAGAAACGAGAATAACCTATGAAGCACACAAACAAACGACGACCACAGAACAACATGCTCCTGACTTAGGACAAGTGCATCAACATACAGCGGGTTTAAACGTTTTCACAGGCACCAGCTTTCACACTTGATGTATAGTTTTAAGATACTGACGTTGTTTATCATATTAGTTATGTAATATATTGTTCTTTTATTTGTGTTTCTAAGTTAATGATGTTTACTGCTTGGTCTATTAGTGGTAACATCCTTTAGGAGTGGCTTGGTACTTGTACAGCCCGCCATTGTGTTGGTTTTTTTTTTCTTTGATGGCATATTTATTTGTTTTTATAGTGATTGAGATTATAACACAATGCTCTATCCTTATTTTTGACAGTTTTACCTATTGTGTTTGTAGTGTTCACACATTAATATATTATTTTTAATATTATTTTATGCGACTGTCAAAATAGTGAGAGGTTAAGCTATTTTTAAAACCAGGTTTATTCCACCATTTTCTACATAAGGAAATACCTTTACAAAGTCAGGAATATGACAGTTGTTTTCCATTTCTTTGATGTGTTTGAGAATTGGATTTTGCCTGTGTTAAAGGACTTTTAGTCTAGAATTTTCCTTGTAGTTTTTTTTGTTTTTGTTTTTTTACTTTTTATACGCCCGTTTACGGGACGTATTATGGTATACCGTTGACCGTCTGTCCGTCTGTCTGTCCGTCCGTCCGTCGTCAACATGTCGAACATTAACTCAAAAACGCGTTAACCAATATGCAAGAAACTTTGGTGAATTATTTATATTTATTGACGTGAGCTCCCTTTCCTTTTTTATAAATTTAGGATTTACTATTTCCGAGTTTTGGAGTTTTCTTCATTAAAAAGGGGGGATTGTCCAGTTTTCGGTCAATAACTCAAAAACAAATTCACCAATTTGCAAGAAACTTTGGTGAATTGTTTAATTCTATTGACATGAGCTTCCTTTTGATTTTTATAAATTTTAGACTATACGTTTCCGATTTATGGGGTTTTATTCATTACAAAAAGGGGGATTTTCCAGTTTTCGGACAATAACACAAAAATGCTTTCAGCATTTTTATGAAACTTTGGTAAATTGTTTATATCTATTGTTGTAAGCTCCAATTTTGATTTTTATAAATTTTAGATTTTACGTTTCCGAGTTATAAGATTTTATTCATAAAAAAGGGGGTGATTTTCAAGTTTTGGGACAATATCGTTTAAGTGCTTAGAGCAGTTTTCATTAAATTTTGATGAATGATTTATATCTATTAAGATAACCTCCCTTTTGTTTTTTTATAAATTTCTGATAAATCATTGAGAAGTTATTGAACTTTATTTGTTTATAGTCTGACAACAGATTTACTAAGTATTGCGCAACAGTACAGTGTACTACACAACAGCAAGAAATCTTTAATTGAATATAGATTCAATTCATATAACCAATTTCAAGTTCTTTGACTACATTTATTCAGAAACCAAGAATATGTCAAATATTTTATTAAAATCCAAATTCAATACGCTTATAAACGGTTTTCAATAATGGTTTACTTTTATAAATTTTGACTTGGATGGAGAGTTGTCTCATTGGCACTCATACCACATCTTCTTATATCTATCAGACCTGTATCAAGCTTGAATATTATGTCCATTTTTGCCCCAACTGTTCAGGGTTGGACCTCTGCGGGCGTATCCAGCTGCGCTCAGCGAAGCAGTTTATTACTTAAAGAAATGGAGTATTTGAATTGTTACGAAAAAAGTAATGTGTTATGTCCCATTAGGTCATGAAGTAGGTCGGTCTGAATGTTAACTCTGTGTCGGAATTTTCCTCAATGTCATGAAAGCAAGACCTGAACATCAGATGCAGTATAAATACCAAAGAAAAACACAAAAATGGCAGGTAACATTTCAATTTTCGACATCATTGTGCCGACTACGCTTATACACGGTTTTCAATCCTTTGAGCAGCGTGAGCAAACGCTAGCCTTTAAGTCATTTGATCTACTATCATCATTTGGCGTCCATCATCGTTGTAAACTTTAAAGTTATCTCCTTTTCTAACTTAAATAAAGATCATTCGACGTATTGTTATATGTTTGACACATTGAACTCAATATCGAGACATGTGTATATCATGATACAATTCAGTTGTAAATCATGTTCTTTTCAGGCAATTAAGGGTCTTGATAATTCACATGCTACTGCTGCAAGTTTGAAAGATGCAAAAACAAAGATGCTGGATAACTCGATGGCACAATTGTTGTCAACCCAACTACAGCTCGACAGAAAATTTTCTAATTTTGAAGAGGAGTTGAAACACATTTCTATACATATTGACAAAGATGTACAAGAAAAGAAGCAACTAAAACAGATAACAGAAACTCTTGATGAAAGACTGAAAATTAAAGAAGATAGTTTTGAAAGGGAATTTAAAGAATGTAAAGAAAATGTAGATAGGTTATCCAAACGACTGAATACTAGTGAAGTACAAATGTATGAAAGAGTTGAAAGTATTGAAAAATATTTAAAGGAATTACAGAAATTACAACAATCTCTTGATTTACAATTCACTCGAATGAAAACCATTGCCATAGACAGTAAGAAGGAAAAAGAAGACTTTGAAAAGGATGTGCAGTCATTGTGCAGTCATATTCAAGTTGATATCACCAAACACGAAGAAAGAATAGCAGCACTTGAGAACAAATCTGGAACTCTTCAGGAAATACAGAGAGACGTTGACAGCCTGAAAATGAAATTAGGTATCTGTTTATAAATTCAAGGAAATATATTTGTATACATGCGCACTTTTGAATAAGACAGCTAAAACACTAAAACTTACCTACAGTCAAATTTGAAGCATAATGCAGGGGTGGCTTTTGTCTTCACGTTTGCTGTAATATTTGTTTTATTAATCTTCAAGTACTAAAGTGTTTCTAATACTTGATTTCCAGTACGACCCAAGAAGAACGAAATTTCAAAAGCCCCAACTTGTGCAACAATTTTACATTAATTTCATGTAAGTTTTTTTTTTATATAAATCGTATTATCATTTGATTAATATTTGTTAATATATTTACGACATTTCTAAAATAGAAACATTAGCAAATTAATACTAAGGCCCATTACAGGTGCCATATTTGTCCATCTGTCTGTCCTACCAAAAAATAAATGTTTGTTTCCCAAATCGCAAGCGACCCAAAAGAATTCTGCTGAGTTAAATTATATTACATATATATTGCCAGCAGTCATCACACAAAGCTAACTGAGCGTTATTTTCGTCTTACGAAACCCGACTTCGCTCAAAAGAAGTGTCAATAAGAAGTGTATGTCACCCTCGATTTTCAGGACAATAACCTTAACTAAAAGCACATGATTATGGTATTTTCGAAATGAACACGTTGCCCTCAAATTTAGTGTGATCAATAGAAATCGGTACGTAGTTTATCATCCCATGTGCTTTTGGATAAGATGTCATAGAACAATTGTATGAAATATTTCATCGCCGAAAATCTCAAATTACAAGTCGTTTACATTTCCCAAATGGCCGAAGGCGCAGGAATATTGTTCATGTACACAAAATCTTTATGATAGAGGAAATAAAGTTATATGGTCTAAGTTGGCGGTAATTTTAACTTACACGAAACGTAAGGTAAGTATTCTGATATTATAAGTAAGTTTTGTTAATAATGATGTTCTTTTCGTTTAAGAAGATTGTGATTATTTAATTGATTTCAATAAAATGTATGCATGTATGCACATTTAAATTCCTTTCTTTAATTGTATTATTCCGTTTATCACTGACCTTGGCAGTTGTTGTTGTTTTGAATGATTATGATCCGGAAATCGACGTTGATGGGATGTTTTAAGAAACGTGAACAACTCGTCCTCGAGACAAGTCGGACCTTTTTAAGAAAACAACTCATACCGCTTGTCAGATTTACTTAGGGTTTATAAAATGTTAGATTAACTTGTCTAGCGGAGTCATCAATCTTTCATTTGTGCATTGGGGTATATTTAGGGGTATGTTGAGGGGCCTAAAAAATGGAGGGGTTTACTATAGAACCCTATGGAATTTCAAATGACTATTACTAGAAAACAGTAAGTGATTGACTTGATCTTCAGTAATGATAACAGGACAATATAACAAATCAAATAAAATATACGGTGAGTCCCTGGGGGTCATCCCAACTCCTTCAATTTAAAAATGTCTTGTTATCTTGTAAACGGTCACAATCCCCTCCCCTAAACCACATATATACTTGTATGGGCCAATAAAACAAATAAAATGAAAATAATTTGGGGGAGTCCCAGGTGTCACCCAACCCCTTCTGTTTTAAAACTTGTAAATAGTCGAGATCCTCAACCCAAACCATATACATTCATATATGGGACAATAAAATATAGGGGAGTCCCTTGGGGTCAACCCCACCCCTTCTGTTTGAGAACTTGTTAACGGTTGAGATCTCAACCCCTAAACCATATATAAACATAATGTAATGTACTAAATTGCCTTTGCCCCAGTTTGCTAAATAATTAATGTTGCCATTGTTTTTAAATTTAGATAAAATGTATTCAAGTGAAAAATAAGAACGATGTTTATGTCGTTGATTGCGGTTAATGCGATTGCCATGAGACATATGCTTTCGTTGTTTTTGTATCAACAATAGTCGTAATATCAATAGAGGACGATTTGTAGCCATTTTTCCCCTTTTTTGTCTATTATCTTAAAAACTATAAAAGGTAGATAGACACTTTAAAAAACCAAAATGATCACCAAAACAATACTTGTATCGAAAAATTAGTGTAATGGTCGAAATGTCATTCGACTCCTTATTTGAATTATATTGTTTATTAACTATTTTTACCAATTTCTAGTATTTTAACCTATTATCTTGAAAATCTAATAGATAAACATTTTAAATACATAATAGCCTAGTCAATTTAGCTCTAAAATCACTCAACCTCCAACTAATTGCAACACAAGGTTTTTTTAGTGCAAATTATAATATAGACTTGTACTAACAACATACTAAAACTATACATTGATTTAATTTGCGGAAAAGGTTATTTTTGGGTGAAATATGTGGTTTTTAGAGAAAAAATGCTGAAAACTGGAAAAGAAGAAAAATTGTTATTTATGGTTACATTTTTAGACCTAAAGCTTGTTGAAGACAGGAACCTTATCTTAATAGACTATTATGTAGTCCTCTAGTTATTATTATTCATAATGAAGTAATTTTGAGGTGAAATGAGTGATTTTTAGTGAAAAAACGTTAAAAACTGGAAACGTAGAAAATCTCCGTTGTTAATGGTTAATATTTTTGAAATTTGATCTATATAGAAAAAAGAACATACTATTTTATGTTTATCTTGTGAAGTCCTTTAGTTATCAATATTAATATTTGGGTAATTTTGGTTGAATATATGTTTTAAGACAGAAAACCCGAAAACTGGAAATGAAAAAATCTCGGTTATTGATGGTTAAAACTTTCGAATTGGGATCTAAATAGAAAATGCTATCTGATGTTTATCTTAAGAAGTCCTATAGTTATTAGTATTTACAAAAAATGTAATTCTTGTGTAAATTGTGATTTGTAGAGAAACATTGTGAAAAATAGAAATAAAAAGCTCGGTTATTCATGGTTAAAACTTTTAACATAGGATCTTTATAGACAGACTCTATCATCTTATGTTTATATGCGTATGTATTCCTCTTATTATCAATATCAATAATAACCAATTTGTTGTGTGAAATATTTTGTTTTACGAACTAATTACAAAAGAAGAATGTGTCCATAGTACATGGATACCCCACCCGCACTATCATTTTCTATGTTCAGTTGACCGTTTGGATCAACACTCTAATTTGGCATTAAAATTAGAAAGACCATATCATAGGGAACATGTGTTCTAAGTTTCAAGTTGAGTGGACTTCAACTTCATCAAAAACTACCTTGACCAAAAACTTTAACAAAAAACTTTAATCTGAAGCGGGACAGACGGACGAACGAACGGACGCACAGACCGAAAAACATAATGCCCCTAAGTGAGGGGCATAAAAAATGAAAATTTCCAAATCTTGGTTATTTCCAGTTTGAATTTTGAAAACGTAAACAGGGAATGTGTCAAAGAGAAAACAAGGCCACTATAATGAGTCTTTAACATAGCAAGTTAATCCGGCACACGGAGGTAGGCTTCAGCTAACCCCTTAATTATTTTGTACACTAGTTAAGCGAAATAGACACCACCTTAAAGGCCTCAAGTCGGTTTCACAAAAAAACTTACGACTAAGATTGATCGTCAGTCATGGACAATTCAGTATACTTACGATTAATCTATTCATTGTAAATTTTTTGTAAAATCGACTCCTGAACTCCAATACATACAAATGAACCAAAATTATAAAAAAAGAAAAAACACACACAAGACAAACAAAGGCTATATCTTGAGGTTCCTGACTTGAGATAAGTGCAATAATGTGGCTGGGGTAAAACATATTGTGTGAGAACTCAACCCTCCCCTAGTTTCTCTAGACAATGTAGAATAAATATACACACAGTAAAACTCAGTTTTAAAGAAGTGCATTTTGTGGAAGTTTGAAATTTTTATCTTGTTTCTGTTATGTATTTATAGTTATTATACGTGTAGGTATGATAAACAAAAAAAAAAATTGATTGTGTTCAAAAATAACTATAAATCAGTTTGGTTACTGACTTTGATTTTGTCATGTTAATTGGTGGAAGAGTTATTTTTCTAGTGTCCGTTCATCGTCATTGATTGTAGTCCTTTTTTTTTGGTTTATATTTTCATTAGCTACTTTTTCAACATTTTAATTGTATAAAGTCACAGTTAAACACAGACTAATTCTATTTAGCAAGCTCTATCAATATCCAAGTTTAATTTCAGATATATAAGCTTTTTAACTTTAATAACATTTACTAGTTCACTGAATTAGCATGAAATATAGATCTGATATTGTTTAAGGCAATTTCAAGGGAATCTTTGTCAATATGATTATAAGAGCTCAGAGGCGGATTTAGGGGGAGGGGGGGGGGGGCAGGGGGCCCGGGCCCCCCTTTTGTGGGAAAAATTTGGTTGATTATATAGGGAATCACTGAAGCATGACTGGAGTGGGCCCCCTCTTAGGCAGTCAGTGGGCCTCCACTGATGAAAATTTCTGGATCCGCCACTGGAGCTTGAATTTAAATAGTAATTGTACCAACGTGGTCCAATTTTGATGTTGAAAATGAGATAAGCACTGTTGAATGAATTGATGGGATCACTTCCTGGGGGAAGTATTTATAGTAACAGCACCTTATGTGTGTACCCAGTAAGATAAAACCTGTACGTGGTGGTCTGAAACATCAACCAAATGATAATGAAAAAGAACTAACATGGGTTGTCTGCTGTATGAAAATATTATGGTCAAAGATATATATATATATAAAGAAAAGCATTACAAAGTTCCTTCTTTAAGATATCTCGTTGAATTAATTTAATAAAAGCTAATCAGCTTTAGCCTAAGAACTGTAAAAAAGTGGACGATTTATGGCCAGAGCTAGCGTTTAGATAGTCATGTCTAATCTGAAATAATGTGTGTTGGTATTTGTTAGTCGTTTGGGTTGCTTTCTCGTTGACTTTAAAAACTTCAAATCTCTCTTTTTTCGTGGTAATACTCTATTATAGAAATATCAATGTTAAAGACGCCGTTTTCTGCTTCCGGAATGTGCTGACCTGTATTCAACTCATTTGAACGAAA